GGTGTTGGCCCTGGAAAAATGGACGGGGGCTCGGTGGTGGAGTCTGTTGTGAGCCATCAAATGCTTTGGAGCAGGACTGTGATGTGAGCAGCTCTGTGGTTCAGAGAACTGCTAACCCTTTAGAAAATTTAAGTCGGAGAGAAGGCAAGGTGTTTAGCAAACTGCAGTGTGAACTTGGAATTTGGTACTCTCTTTAATAGAATAACTTCTTCCTTTTTTTTTTTCTTTTAGAAGAGATTTTTCAGCCCAGGATATGTGGGCTGCCTTCTGAAGCCTTGTTAAATGATAGTGGAAAGGTGGGAACATTTATTTTCAGCAAATAGAATTCAACAGTGTTTAGACTTCCCTAATTGTGTTGTACTAATTGGTACTTATTGAAGGTCATTAGAGTTTGGAATTCTTTAGAGGAGAGGGACTCATTTCTCAAAAATACTGAGGATGGATACTGGGAGCCGAACTGGGACAATGTATTTCCTAGTAACCCCGAGTTTGGTGTGTCAGTTGGGAGTGACTGCAGGGTGGGACAGGGTGTGAGCAGAGGGCCAGCTAATTTGCTGTCTTGATGACTCTGTGGGTGACGGCTTTAGGGGCTGGCAGCGTCTGGTGGAAACAGAATCTGTTCAAAAGGTGGAGCTGCCTTACAGCAGTTGCCAGCTCGCTGCTCACCTGCAGAGCATGTGCCCTCATCTGGGTCACAGCTCTGCCCCTCAGATGTTCCTGGTCCTCTGCTTGGATCCACCCCCTTCACTGCAGCTGAAACAGCCAACAAAGCAGCATCATGTGTTGGAGGCCTGAAAAGTTAGAGTGAATGTGAAGGAAGTCAGCCTGCAGGCCCCAAAGGTGTAGTAATTATTGTAGAGGCACAACATTGCCTTGTACTCTCAGGTTTTCAGAGTCCTCTGGGGAAGAAATATGAATTTTTTATAGCCTGACTTTTTACATTTCAAAGCTTGTACTCATGGACTAAGGGACTTGGATGGGAGGGTTGTGCAAAATGTGGGTAGACCTCCTGTAAATTTGGTAGGTTGGACAGAACACGTACCTCAATCATTTTCATCACTGAAAACGGATTGTTTCATTTTGTGATTTTCAAATTGTTGGCAAACATTTTTTGTTTAGTTTTGTTTTTTAATGTGTTCTCACATTTGAGCTAGGATTGTGCAGGAGGAAGTAGGATTCTGGTAAGCTGAAATGGAGCTTTGGGGGCACCTGGAGGGGAGCTGGGTTGGGGACAGCATCTGAAAGTGCTGCCTTTAGTGGGTTCAACCAGGGCACACTACTTAGGGGAAGCAGAGCACCATGTATGTCTCTGTGCATAATCATCTCAACAATCTTATGAGGTGTAGCTATTATTTTCCCCTTTTTAAAGACAGGAAACTGAGGCTTAGCGATGCTCCTGTTCCGGAGATCATGCAGCCAGTGACACATGACCAGGAAGCTTTATGGCAGGCTTTAAGAGGAGTTGTTTTAGATAATCTCAATATACGGTGGTACCTGGAGAGTTTCTACCACTTGACTCAATTTGTTTGTCTTGGGGCCGGGCACGGTGGCTCACACCTGTAATCCCAGCACTTCGGGAGGCCAAGGCGGGCAGATCATCTGAGTTCAGGAGTTCGAGACCAGGCTGGCCAATATGGTGAAACCTCATCTCTGCTAAAAATAGAAAAATTAGCCAGCTGTGGTGGTGGGCACCTGTAATTCCAGCAACTCGGGAAGCTGGGACAGGAAGAATTGCTTGACCCCGGGAGGCGGAGGTTGCAGTGAACTGAGATTGCGCCACTGCACTTCAGCCTGGGCAACAGAGTGAGAGACTCCCATCTCAAAAAAAAAAAAAAATTTGTTTGTCTTGATTCTTCTCAGTTTGCTTAGATTTGAGCATAATATGTTATTTGAATACTTCCAGCTTCATCTGAAATATCCTAAATTGAGCAATTGCTGTGTTTAGGATGCTAGGTTTAGGCATGGTGGAGTTTGGTGGTTCTTGCCTTTGGGGAGTTGACATTATGAAAGGAATTCTTATGCCATGTGGACCCTGAGCCAAGTTCCCATGGGAAGGCCAGGCTCACAGAAGCTCTCAGGAGTGGGTCTGCACTTCTAGGAAAAGCACAAGTAGGGGCTGAGAGCCCAGTGGGAAAGCAGGTTGGTTTTGAGTTTACAGTGTAATTTGGTGTTAAGGAAGGTGTCTGAGAAGATGAGTTGGAGGGATAGTGGGGTAAGGTGGAACGGTGGGGCAGGATTCGACCTTTTCTTCTTTAAGTGGTAAGGAGTCCAAAGTTTTTGAGTAGAGAAGTGACAGGCTGGCCTGCGTAGGCCTTGGAGACACCCTCAGCAGTGGGCATGTGGTTTGTGTGTCTGTGCTTTGGGTGGCTGCCGTGCCTTACTTTACTGTTTGCTTTTGGCCTGAGGCAGAGAGTGCATCCCATGGCAGCCGGTACAGGATGAACTGAGAGGCAGCACCCAGGATATCTGAATTGCCTAAAGCCACTGCAGTGATGTACACACATAGGGAAGCTTTATTTCTTTACAGCCATAAACTTGTTGAAAAGCTGAATCACATAACTCTGGCTTAATATTTGACTTCGTGGTTACCAGTTCCAGGTGAGCCACCTTCAAGAGGGGCACCATCCTGTTGTCAGAAAGGTGCGGCTGGGCAGCAGGGAACCTGGGTTCCACTTTAGCCCTGACATAGAAGGTTTTGGTTCATGTACCTTAGGTCTGGTAGGCCCCCTTTGGGTGCTTGTTTACTGAACTGATGTATCGTGTTTATAATGTTGGTAGATGGGTATATATATACCAAGACCTCTGGTTTACTGAAGGTAGGGCCAGGAGCTTTCCGGCAGTCTGTTGAGTGGAGCCACGGGTCAGTCAGGACACCTGGCCCACAGCACCATGAGCTAGTGGACCTGCTTGTGGTCCCAGGTGTTGCAGTGTGGCACTTGAGCCCACGCTACTGACTTGCCCCTCCCCCACCCAATTTTGGAGTCATGCTGAGTCTTTGCCTGTTGCTGTTCTCTGCCTCAGCTCAAAAGGAGACAAGGATTGCCTTCACCTGCCCTCATTGGGGGCAAGAGCAAGTCTGGATAAATGACTTTTACTGATAATTCCTCCAAATCATTTTTATCCTCCATAGCCGACACTCCTTCCTCTAAAAACCTGCAAAGTAGTAGTAAATCCCTTTCCATTCCTCCCCTTTGCTCTTTCAGGCTTCTGGTAAAGCTGGAAGCATCTGAAAGAGTGGCAACTGAAGCCAGGGCTGCCGTAATCCACACACTCTGGACGTCACCCTGGGTGACTCAGATTTGGTTGCATTTGTCATTTCACAACCACCTGCATCTGATCCCACTGTGTGGGCAAACTCTCTGCTGGGAGTCTCTGCCTGGTGCCCGGTCCTGGGAGCATAGCATTCTTCCCTAGAATTGCTTTCCCCAGCTCTTTCTCTGTAGCTTTAGCCATGGGGTTCACTATGAAAGCTGACATGCCTACCCTCCCCATTCACTTTTGTTAATAGTTATTTCTTTTTTTTTTTTTTTCGAGAAGGAGTCTTGCTCTGGCAACCTCTGCCTCCCAGGTTCAAGCAATTCTCCTGCCTCAGCCTCCCGAGTAGCTGGGATTATAGGCACCTGCCACCACACCCAGCTACCTTTTGTATTTTTAGTAGAGATGGGGTTTTACCATGTTGGCCAGGCTGGTCTCGAACTCCTGACCTCATGATCCACCCACCTCGGCCTCCCAAAGTGCTGGGATTACAGGCGTGAGCCACTGTGCCTGACCGTTAATAGTCATTTCTAAGAAGAAAATATGTACCATCATATGCCAGTCATGTTAAATGCTTTCTGTGCATTTTCTTCATAGTCCTCACAACAGTCCTATTAAATTGGTATAATTATCCTCATTTTGCAGATTTGGAAGGTGGCATTTGGGGAGATCACCCTAATCTTTTCAGTTACCTAATGTAATGTACAGGAGGCATTATACCTCTTGCAGTCTGTATTTCATCTCATTTAATCTTTGCATCAATTTATAAGTTCACTGTTATTTCTGTTTACAGATGAGGAAACTGGGGTTTAGTTTAAATAACTTGCCCAAGGTTACTGTGGCTAGTTAGTGATGGAGTCTGAATTCAGACCCAGGCCAGTGTACTCCAGTGCAAGTGCTCTTCATCTTTTCACTTCTGCATTTGTTTAGTAAGTAAAAATAGGGCTGACAAAGCTGATAGCTTGTCAAACTCCTGGCCTCAAGGGATCCTCCCACCTCAGCCTCCCAAAGTGGTAGGATTACAAGTGTAAGCCATCACACCCAGCCAAAGCTGATGGCTTCTATTGGATTTGTTTTCTAATGCTTTGTCCATTTTTAAATGGGGTAAGAGAGGGAGATAATGTACTATAGTTTAAGCACCTTGAGGACTTTTTTGTTCTTTTTTTTTTTTTTTTTTGGAGACAGGTCTCCAGTGTCACCCAGGCTGGAGTGCAGTGGTGTGATCTTGACTCACTGCGACCTTCACCTCCTGGGTTCCTGGGATTGTCATGCCTCAGCCTCCCAAGTACCTGGGACTACAGGCGCGCACCACCACTCCCAGCTAGTTTTTGTATTTTTAGGAAAGATCGGGGTTTTTGTGTTTGTTTGTTTGAGATGGAGTTTTGCTCTTGTTGCCCAGGCTGGAGTACAATGGTGTGATCTCAGCTCACTGCAGCGTCCGCCTCCTGGGTTCAAACGAAAATTCTCCTGCCTCAGCCTCCAAAGTAGCTGGGATTGCAGGCATGCGCCACCATGCCCAGCCAATTTTTGTATTTTTAGTAGAGACAGCGTTTCATCATGTTGGTCAGGTTGCACTCGAACTCCTGACCTCAGGTGGTCCACCCGCCTGGGCCTCCCAAAGTGATGGGATTACAGACGTGAGCCACTGCGCCCAGCCAAGATCAGGTTTTACTGTGTTGCCCAGTCTTGTCTCCTGGGCCTCAAGCGATCCATCGACCTGGGCCTTCTAAAGTGGTGGGATTAGAGATGTGAGCCACCACGCCCAGCCACTTTTTGTTCTTTTTAAGCATTTTATTCACTGATGCCTCCCAAGCACTTGCCATAGTGCTCGGCACATGCTAGGTGCTCAGTCAGTATTGGTTGAAGGAATGAATGAGGTACAGGTTATTTGACCTGTTTCACAGGGGGCGATATTGACAGAGCAGTTGGGTGTCTTACCCATAGGCATGCACTGTTGTTGAAAACAGCTTTTGCTCTTCACACACAGATCTTTTCTGTTTTTAAACAGATTTTTTTTTTTACAAGTACAAAATGGAAGTCATTAGATCTAAGTCATGGGATTGTAGACTGTAATATAACACACTATAAATACCCAGTGTCTGGTATACAATGTAAACATTCAGTAAGTGACTCTGTGTTTGTTGTGGTTGGAGTGTCTTTTCTGCATGTGCCCTCATTTTGGGTAGGGTTGCCACACAGATTAGGAAAGTTAAAAATTTGTGAGCCATGGAAACCTTTTAAAAACATGTTTAGTTAATTCAGTGTTTCTATCTTTGCTATACTATCCATCAAGCAATACAAGTAGTCAAATTGGTGAAATGAGTTCACATCTATCCTGGGCAAGTGGACAAGTGGTTATGACTGGCAAGATTTGATTAAATGATATTTGCATTTTCCCTGTTTACAGTTGTAGAGCATGGATGGCAGTGGAAGGGGCCTCAGGGAAGCATGGTTCGTTTCTTTTCCTTATACCCCCTTAACTTACAGGTAAGGAAAGTGAGGCCTGGAGAGATGCAGGGGGCAGGCTGGATGTGAAACTCTGGTCTTGCATGTCACATTCTCTTAGACATCAGCTCACCCTGCCAAATCCAGGTTCCTGGATGGGCTTGTATGAACACTTTAGTGGTGGAGCCACAATTATTCCTACTATGATGTTGTTAGCAGATTATATCAATAATCCACCAAGAGCCAAGAAATCAAAATCAGGACTGTGTAAACATTGTTTTTTACCCATCATAAAATGTTCTTAGCCAGGCACGGTGGCACACCCCGGAAGTCCCAGCCACTTGGGAGGTTGAGGCAGGAGGATCGCTTGAACCTAGGAGTTTAAATCAGCCTGGGCAACATAGTGAGACTCCATCTCTAAATAAGTAAAGGAATGAGTGAATGAATGAATGTTCTTATTCATTGTAGATAATAAGAAGGAATATGAAGAAAAAACAAGTTATCCTAAATTAAGATTATAAAGTAAATAGTCCTAAGGATTAAAAATTACTTTTCTCATCAGAATTTTAATTATTTCACTGCACATTTGCCCACAATAGAAGAATTATAAATGAACTAAAAGGTAAAAACACCTAATGATGCAAAAAGGAAAAAGGAAAGTAAAATTGTTTATGCCTACAAGTCAGAGATAACCATTGTTAATACTATCTCCTTCTAGATGGTTTTCTATGGGTATATACCCATAGTACAAAAATGGGATTTATTGTGGACAATAAAAAAACCCATTTTTGTACATGTCTTTATACCATATGTTTTAAAATTTTAGTATGATATGACAGGTCTTTTTTGGTGCATTCAAATATTCTTGAACATGAAAATCACATTTTGATGTGACATAATTTTAGGGGGCAGAGTCATAAGCTAATGTTTTAATTATTTTGCATTCCCTGGGCACTCATTGTGTGGGTGAAGGAAAGGTATTCTTCTAGGTTACATGAAACCAACATAGTATTAAACTTTTTATGGTAAATTGTGAATACGTAGTTCATCAGAAATTTATTTTAAAGAGGAAAATACTGAACTGACAAAATGTGTTTATTTTTGGATAGCATGTGATCTGTCATCTTATTACCCCAAACACGTCAGGGTTACTGATGAAAAACAAATTGAGCAGTTCAAAAAGTCCTTCCACTAGAGGGTTGGCCTCTCTTGAGAGGAAGGTGTTTGTCCTCTTACATAGAGCACTGTGTTGTAAATGTTAGGAATGATGTGATGTGTCCTTTATCTGTGGTTGTATTTTTATTGGATGTTTTTCTTTAATCAATGTCATGTTATTTGGACATTCTAGAGCAATTATTCCCGATCTTTTTAAACGTAAGGTACTCTTTTAATGTAAAAAATTTCCGGACCACGTATGATTTTAATTATTTTTTTAGATTCTGTTGAGAAGCTCTAACGATAGAAAAATTCTATCAACATTTTAGTGGCACTTACCTTTATTAAATATAGCAGCATCTTCATACACTTGCAAAATAACAGTATATATATATGTAAATTTAATGATTTCTAGATGCTTGATGAGCAAATGAACAAGTGGATCCCTTGAAATAGCTCCCTGGAGGGCTCCTGCCCTAGAGGAAGACAGATCCTGCATATGTAACCCTAAAGTCTAATGTCAGGAAAATAATGATTAGACCAGTTCTGAACTTCAAGTGGAGTTCTGTAACTCTAGAGCTAAACGCCACTGTATGACAAGTTAGGAAGATATATTTTCTTCCACCTGTTCATACACTGAACGGTTTCCAGAGCAGCCTTTGATATCACCTCATTTTCCTCATCATTTCAAAGAATTCAATTGGGGAAGAGAATGCAATCAGCCAGATTGTAAGAAACATTTGGACATACTTTGAATGAATGAATGAATGTTCTTATTCACTGTAGATAATAAGGAATATGAAGAAAATGACTCTCCCTTGGCCCTTTTAATTAATCTACTGTGATCTATTAGAGAGAGGACTGGGTTTGTTAGGAGACTAACGTAAGGTCCTGAAGGCAAGCCCAACCTTGATTAAGATTAAAATAGAAAAAGATATACTTCACACCTTGGTTTTTCCATCTCTAAAATGGGTAGAATATCTTCCTTGTGCCTTCTTAGGAGGTGACACGATGATACCCATGGGCAGCATTTTCTTTCTTTTTAATCAGTAAATGTAAACAAAAACCTTTGTAAGGATGGAAGCTATTGGAAAGTACCATACAGAGGATTAGGACCGTGAATCCAGGGAAATTCTAAGCATTCTGAAAGCTGCTTTTAGGCAGGGCAGCCGCCAAAAGACCAGCTGGTAGATTGAGACTTTTCTCAAAAACCTGACTTCATTCTCTTGTGGCTCCATTTTCCTTTTTTTCAAATGGGGTCTAGTGGCTTAGTTGTGGTTATTCCACAGTGATGCCTCTTTTATTGCTATTCTTATGATGACAACAGCATTCTTGCACCACTTAACTCTCCAAGATGCAGGCAGGGGAGGCAACTGCCTCATTTCTGATGTGCTTGCATTACCTACAGGAAAAGCATCCCGGTATTCTACCTTTGTCTGGGAGTTGGGTTGGGAGCAGGCATTCAGTTTAAGTTTTATGTGCCATCTGTATATTTTCGAAAACATTTAACATGATCTTTATTTCAAGCTTTTATAGCCCTTTCAAGTTGCTCTAGGGAAACTTCAGCAGTTTCTTAGCAAAACAGATAGACAGTAAGTATGGATCAACTGAGCCCAGGAAAGAATGGGGTTTGGGAAGATCACATTGTTTGGATTTTCTGCTAATACTAAAACTGGATTTTTACTGCACAGGCAGGGAGAATTACCATCATGTGGTGGACCTGGTGAGAGAGGTATCATATGACTAAGCGAGTCAGCTGACCTCAGTTAAAGGGCTATGACCGTCTGTACAATGGGACCAGTACCTTCTCCAACTGTTGGTCTCAACTGAATGAGATTCCATGTCTGAGGAGTGATCGGGGTGATGATGACTTTTGATGGAACTGACCTCACACAGGTTTCTGGGGGAAAAACACCACCAAATTTTATTTTAAGAATTCCAAAATAATTTTACAATTTTGATTTGAGTAGAAGTTTGATTTGAAAAGGGACTTCATCTGCACCTTCTCTCTTGCCTTTGTTTATAGATGTCAGTAATGCCAGTATTTTAACAAGTAGAAATGAGTTATAAATTATATCTTAAGGATTTTAGTTTGTTTTGGATAATTGTTTAATTGGCTAGGATTTCTCCCCCCTTCAGTAGCTTGAGATCCCCATGACTAGGCAATATGGAGATAATAGTAAACAACTAAGCTCTTTGTAAGAGATGTTATTTATTTATTTATTTTTAAATAGAGATAAGGTCTTGCTATGTTGCCCAGGCTGGTCTCCAACTCCTGGGCTCCAGCAATCCTCTAGCCTCAGCTTCCCAAAGTGTTGGGATTACAGGCATGAGCCACTACGCTCAGCCTGAGACATTATTTGAGGAGGAGGTCATGAATATATAATAAACTTAGGAGGAGTACAGATGAAAAGTTTTCTCTTGAACCTACATTTTTGAACAGGAGAAGAGATGATTTTTAGGTATAATGGTGTGCAAAGTAACAACAGTTTCTAAAGACATTTAAAATAATAAAGTATAAATATCTTTATTCAGGATGAACTGGGTTCTGAAGCCTGATGTTTTCAAGAGTTCTTTATTATCAGGTGGCTTGTGAAAGCCCATTGTTAACCAAACGTGTTGTGTTTGCCTCAGAATTTCATTAAAAAGTATGCGTACGTTCATATCCCCCTTATGTGAGGTGGCAGTGAAACAGAAACTTGATAGAAATATTGAGGAGGGGAAAAGATGAAGCCACCGTGGCACCTGGCCTCCCTCTTTCACTTCCCTTTCCAACTCTGCTCCTTTGAGATGTTCTTCAAGAAGATGGAGGAAGCTTGCTGGGTTTAGGGTCATCACCCAGGATCTGGCGGCGGGAGTAGCTCAGCACTGGGAGTTCCCTCCACAAAGCCCAGAGCTAACTCATCACATCCAGCTGCTGTCAGGAGTTGGGCAGTCCTGTCCCTTGGCTTTCCTGGGAAGGCCTGCGTGGAGGAGGCAGGAGCAGGCAAGGGACCAAGAGAGTACCTGGTAGACCTGATGCCTCCCCCTTCCCCCTGGGCCCCCAGGGAAGGAGCTACCTTGTGGACTGGGGTACAGGGAATAGAGGGTTGGAATCCAGAAAAGAGGGTGGAGGGCATGACTGCAGTTACTGCAATTGTCTCAGGACACAGACCAAGCCCTGGTGCAGAAATTGTTTGGCTGTTGGCCTTTTCAGATGTTTGCATGCAGGAAGTGCCTTTGATAAAGTATGGTTTGCTAACATGAGTATGATATGCATGTGCATTTTTGGATGCCAAACACATAGGCAGATAAAACTAAGAAGCCAAACGCTAAGATAGTTGTTGATGAATTGAAACTAGCCTAACTGGCTCCACTGTTGGAGTCATTCGCTCAGACTACTCCAAAGTTTTGTTTGGTCTACCAAAAACATTAGTTGGAAAGGTACCGCATTAATTTAAGGCAGGGAAGCCTCCAGCACGTGAGAGTCGTGTCTCTCTCGGTGATGCTGGGAGGGAAGGATGGGAGATGAGAGTCATTTCACCGCCGCCTAGCTCCTCCTCTTCCTCTCCCTGCCCTGGAGTTGCAGCCTCAGCTTTCAGAGTCTCTTGCCTGGTGCTAGGCCCGGCGAGCGGTTGGATTTTAAGTATTTCTCAGTTATTTTCAGTATCATCAGTCATCACTTTCAGAGTTCCTTTTCTTTTTCAAGGGTACCCAGTCTAACTGTTTAGCTCCTTTTCAATAGCCCTCCTCACTCACTTATGCCCAGTCAGGAAGATTAATAATGTTAACTGATTTACTATCGCTGCAAAAAGCATTAGTTAATTAGACTTTTACACCTCAGTCAGATGGCATTAGACACCCTTTGTGCACTTTAACTCAAGGATGTTAAAGACCTAAATCTTTCAGAAAAAAAGAAAAGAAAGAAAAAGGACAGGCACTTTTCCAGTTTAAGCTGCATGTTGGTCCATGTTAATTAGGCATTTGTCCTTTAGTCTGGAGGTGATAGAAAATGCCAGTTACTGTGGTATTTAACTGACATCAAACTCCTGTCCAAATAATTCAGTTAGGCCCAGCCTTCTCTCTTAATTGGTGGGAAGGAAAACTTCGGCACACACCCAGAATAGGGAGGAAACTGTTACTTACGTTGAACATTTTAAAGTTCATTCTGAAGGATCTGAAGGACACTTGAATATTTTTTAAATTAACTATCCAGTTGAGCTTTTTAAAAACAGTTACAAAAGAATCTCCCCTAAAACTTGAGCTACCCCAGATGATAGGTTTTGTAAGTCTTCAGAAAATGAAAGTTTAGTAATTGTTGTTATCCAAGGTCAAAGTGGTGGTTGTTATCCAAGGCTCTTATAGATTTCTGTATCTGTTTGGCCCTGTTTTAAAAAGTGCTCTAAAAATTGACAGTTTCTAGCTCACACTCATATTTCTTTATTAATACCAGAAATTCACAAATGGGTTAAGGCGCACCCAGCAGTATACACATTTAAAAATCACTATAAGCTAGCATATTGGGACAAAAGTGACATGAATATGATTGTTTCATGGGAGCAATTAGATGACACTTTTTGTTTGTTTTGTTTTTAAAAGCAACTTGTTCCTAGTTGCTGGAGAAGGTAATCCTCTTTAACAAGAGTATAGTTTACCTTATGAGTTATGTAAAACAATTACAAAAATAATGAAAAGATTTTTTTTCTAATTAGTGGGTAGCCTTATTTGACTTTAAACCTTACTCACTTTTGTGTATGTTTCTAGCCAAAGGTTCACACATTTGAGAGCATTTCACTTTTAGTACTGAACTACTTTTTCGTGCACTGAATGAATACAATATGTTAACACTCCTGTAAGGCCCAGAATTGCTTGGCTGCCCCTTGCCCTGCCTGCCTGGTACTGGCTGAAAAGGTACCATTGTTTGTTCTGCAAACACTGAGTGATGTTTGTTTCCAAGGTGACTGGTTCTATTGCTGCCCTTTAAGCAAAGGTGGGAGGGGGGATGGGGGAGAGAGAAAGTTGGCTTTAAACACCTGAGAGCATCCTGTTCTGGGTACAGTGTGTGTATGTATATGTTTGTAAGTTGAAATTTTATTTTAACTGAGGTAATTGGAGAAAAAGGGATAGTGTAGAAATGGGAGGAAAAGACAGTATCAGTAAGTTAAAAATATCAGTAGGTTCTGATATTTAACTCAATATACTTTGAGTGAATGTAATGGTAAGAAATGTTAAAATTTAAAGATCTGATTTGACTGAAGTTAACTGTTTACATTTGGAGTTAAGGGGAGAAAAAATATTTTAGATCGTAACTGTTGAAATGTTAAATATATTTTTGCATGAAATAGTTCTTCAGCTATAACCTATGTGTAGTAGCTATTCAGACGAATAAATATTTGACAATATAACTGAAATGGTTATTGATCAGGTAGTTGAGCCTTCAAAAAAAGTATGAGAGAACATGAAATATAAACAGATTTAAGTTCTGTAAAAACAATCTGTAAAACCATTTAGGCATATTTGTGTTCAGAATTTTCCAAAAAGATAAAATAGATTAAAAGTATCTTCTAATTGGTAGTATATATTGACTCAATTCATTAGACTTTGGAAATTTATATTTTATCAGAACTTTTAGATTCAGACTAGAAAAAAATTCCTTCTTGGTCCATTCCCCCACCCACCTTTTTTATTGTACATAGATGCTGTTAACAGAACTTTGCCTTTTTCATTCCTATCAGGTTTAGTACAGTTCATGCGCAGGTTTCAGTAAACATTAACTACTTTTATCAGAGCTTGCAGTGTGCTGAATGGTTAGCAAAGAGAGTGTACTGCAAGAGACAGATGAAAATGAGAGAGTCCAAGGTCACATGGATGTTGAATTTTTTTTAATTATTGAGAATTTAGGGGAAAGAACATCAGGCTTCACACTTTAAGTCTCTTTACGTGGGCCTGCCACATGGCTTCTTTGCCAGCTTTTGTATGTACTGAAGCTAAAACATTTGTTCTGATGCTGTGAGTGGCAAGACAAGTGACTTTAAAACATGTGGTTTTTTTTCTTTCAATTAAACAAAGTTTTATTCAGGGCTGCCTTCCAGGATGAAAGATTCTCGAGGCCCCATCAAAGACATCATGTAACACTTATCACGGTGATTCTGAAGACTCTTGAATTTTATAGGGATATCCTTTTTTCCCTTTCTCAAATATTTTTCAGGATTGCCTTCTGATAATCTATTTCGTTTCTGGAGTTAGCACAGTAACTCGTAAACCAAGTGCTAAGATGAAATCTGAAACACATATAGAATAAACATGTTTTGGATATCATGTAATGTTCCCCATCTTTTGCCTATCATTTTCGAAAACAAGAATGTGATTTGTGCTTATTTTTAGAGAAAAGGACATGAACATGTAAGAAATTGCTGACAAAAATTATTTTCCTCCTGCTCCTCGGATCCAATAGGTATTGAGGCCGCTGGGCCCTCCTTTTACTCCTTAGCTGGACAGCGGATTCGGGCTCTGCCCCTTGACTAAGGCTGAAGTGGAAAGTTGTGGAGCTAGAACAAGAGTTGTTCCTTAGGGTGGTGTCCCTAAACTTGAAAGTGGACTTGGTCCTGCTCGCAGGTGGGCTTGCACGCGCCAGGCTTCGTGTGGTGGCTGGCGCGCGCCGGCCCTCGAGCGCCAGCGTGGGTGACCCGTGCCCCGCCCCGGACGGTCTTTTCACCCTGTTCTGTTTCTGGGGAGGGGCGAGGGGAAGACAGCGGGTGCCTTCCCTCAGAGGCAAGCAGCCATTGTGCCTCGGGAACACGGTCTGAGTAGAGTTGTGTTCGCACAGCCGAAGGCGCCCGGCTGCCCTCCCGGGGCCTCGAGGGTCTGTCTGTGCCCTCCTCGTCCGAGTGCGGCAGGCGAGTGCGGCAGGCGGCGAGCGGGCAGCCGACTGCCCGGGCTGGCCTGCGTCAGGGCTCCACTGCCGCGGGGGCCCCCTCGGGCCGCCCCCAGGGCTCCCGCGGTGGGTGTCCGGTGAGCGGGTAGCGAGGCCATCAGTCAGGGCGGCGGGCGCCTATTGGCTGGCGGGGGCCGGGCGGGGCGGGGCTCGGTGTTCGTTCGCGCTGTCGTTCCCCTGTGAGGAGAGCCGCGTCTTCCAGCGGACCTTGCCGCTCTTTCCTCAGCTGCGAAGGGCACGGCCGCTGGGAACACAACCTAATGAACAACCAGAGCTCTTCAGATGCCTTTAGCAACTCAGCTCCTTAAAAATAATAATAAATTCCTGTCAGGGAAAGATTAGATGAGTGTGCTTGGAGCGAATCCGTGCCCCCCCCACTCTCCTTTTTTGGCCAGAGGGCATTTAGCCTGTGACCACTTTTAAATTTTCACAAGATTTGCATAGACATGAGTATGCCTACTCGCATTATGTAATTTTTTCCCCAAATAAGTTCCCATTGAAACATTTGGCTTCCCTGATGGCTATTTCAGAATAAAAACATGTAGCAGGGTATTTCATGATGGGTAGCTCCAAAAACTTTTGTTTAAAAGAAAAACCGCGTATCCAGAAAATGCTCCTTAAAGCCTTTTTTGACGAGGAGGAGGGGTGCAGACACTGCTGCGGCACAGTGGACGTGGAAGGAGCGGGGCGTGTGTAGGACAGAGCCCAGGAGAACGGGCAGCCGCCGCGTGTGTAGGACAGAGCCCAGGAGAACGGGCAGCCGCGTGGCCGGGCCAGGAGGCAGGGCCTTTCTGGCTCTTTCCGCAGAGGGCTGGATAATTGCCTCTCCTTTCTAAAAGGAGCCGTTTTTCAGGGCCGGGCACGGTGGCCTTCGCCCATAGGCTCACGCCCGTAATTCTAGGACTTTGGGAGACCGAGGCTGGCGGATTATCTGAGGTCAGGAGTTCGAGACCAGCCTGGCCAACATGGTGAAATCCCATCTCTACTAAAAAAATACAAAAATTACCTGGGCGTAGTGGCGCGCGCCTGTGATCCCAGCTCCTCAGGAGGCTGAGGCAGGCGAATCGCTCGAACCCGGGAGATGGAGGTTGTGGTGAGCCAAGATCGCGCCACTGCACTCCAGCCTGGGCAACAAGAGTGAAACTCCGTCTTTAAAAAAAAAAAAAAAAAAGGCTATTTGCTGAGAATGGAGGTGGAGGACCACACAAAACCCAGTCAGTTCCTGTGGCTTCCACTTTTACACCGTCCTCCGAGAGCCGGCTCCCGTGCCTTTCCCAGCTGCGCTGCCCTTGGCACCACCCGGTGCCTGTCCCCCGCAAAGCTGGACGCCCTTATCTCTCCCGCCTGCCCTCAGTGTCAAGTCTCCCTCCAGGACGCAGTTTCTCGATGTTCTGTACTGGAAGTACATCACCAGTGAGGGCAGTAGGTCACTGTTTGGTAACCATCAGGTTGTTCCGGGTGGCTAAAGGTTGCCTGCTGCCAGGTGCCTTGCTGAGTGTGCCCTGTCTTAGTCTAAGACAGTTCGTGGGGTCAGGCTTGACCCCCAGCAGGCCCGTTTCATGAGCTGGCTCCTCTGCAGCCATGTGATGGGCAGAACCACGTGGGCCAGCTTACCAAGCCAGGGCACTGACTTCTGCCCCAAGGCCGGGCAGGGAGGACCCCAGCACCAGGCACTCTAGGACCCTAGAACGAGTTCAGTGACTTGACGTGGCACCACCTCTCTCCACTTTGAGACTTACCTCACTTTTGCTTCACCACCTTTGGTGGTTGCTTTTCTCCTAACTGTGATTCTTCATTCTTCATGGGGGGATAACTTTTCTCTTCTGCACATGCGGGGACCCCACTCCAGGAGGTTCTAGTGGAGCATGAACCATTGACTGGGGCATGGCCATTGGAAGCTTCCCAGGCGATGCAAATACAAAGCCCTAATAAAGCTTTCAAAACTGCTTTAGAAACAGGTCACTTTTATATTTGTGTTGGAAACTTGTCTTGAGACAAATGAATACATTTGAGCCACTGGGATTTTTGGGGAAAATACAGCTAAAAGGGTTAGGAAATGATGCATAAGGAAATTCTCCCATCTGATGCTTGCTTGCCTGCTGCAAACCTCAGTGTTTTCTATTAAGTGAGGCATTGTGGTTCCTGTGTTAGCCCTGATAGACCTTCAGCACCGGCAGGTGTAAATGTGGCTCATTAATTTTTTAAGAAGTTGGAGCTCTGACAGTTTTCAGGGATGCTAGTAGCTGGTACCAGATGTTTCTTTTGTTAAGGGTATGGAGAGGCAGTGTCACAGGTAATCAGGCTATAGTCGTTCACTCCCTTGGTCTGAGACTATGGGTTTTGTGGTGCTGAATATTTTCTTAAACCAAGAAGGGTGTGGGGAGGTGCACATTCTGGTTTCTAGATGGGCTTTCCCCTGACACTGGCTCATGCAGTAAGTATTATCTTATGTAGAGGTGTTGACTCAATTATCATTAGGCCCAGCTCCTGTTAGAAGAGAGTAAATGGTGCTTGGGGCCTCTTTATCTAGACCGTTTTGCCACAGCTGAAGTGACAGCCTGTGCTTCTAACTGAATTCAGTCCTTTTTTTTTCACTCCCTTACTGTGGAACAACAGCAAAGTCGGCCGCTCATCATTCGGGTGCAGACTTTACAGCCTCTGAACAGCCTCTGCTTTTGCAGTTTATGAATGCACCATTTGTTGTTTTGAGCACAACTGTTAGATACAACTGGCCTCCGCAGCCCACTCTGCCGGCGACCAGTGTGCATCACTGCAGCCTTTTTTTCTTTTTCTTTTTTTTTTTTTCTTTTTTTGCATAGGCCAAATTTTTGCTTTAAATACCACCATTTTGTCCACACTAGAATTTCTTTGACCCAACTTACATTTTTTCAAATGTAAGTTTCAGAAATAAGGTTTTAATTTGCTCAAACTGTTGGTCTAGGGATCCTGAATAAGTGCAAGTATTTTACTTCATTAAAGGGGGAATTGTTTTTGTGGCTGGATTTTGCACACTTTTTAAAAAATTCTCAAACATGTGACTTGCAAATTTTCCTTTAAATTGGGTTGAAGTTAGAAAGTTTCATTATTTTCTAAGTCATTATGTTTTTTCTTTTTGAGCTTTACACACAAATAATGTCTTCAGTT